TACCAACTATACCAAATATTATTTGTTTACTTCTATGCACATAATTGATAATAAGTGAAAGAAAAATTAGAGACAGAATTTAAAATCCGTCTCTAGTTTAGAAACGGATTTTCAAATCCGTCTCTAGTATAGAAACGAATTTTCAAATCCGTCTCTAGTTTAGAGACGGATTTTAGTTTACATAATTCGTCGCTAAAGTAATATTTTACATAATTCGTTTCGAAAATAATTTAGAGACGGAATTAAAAATCCGTCGCTCATATTAGCAACGGAAAAATAAAACCCGTCTCTAATTTAGCAACGGAAAAAAAAATCCGTCTCTAAATTTAGCAACGGAAAAAAATCCGTTTCTAATTTAGAAACGGATTTTCAATTCCGTTTCTTATTTAGAGACGGATTTTTTAATTCTGTCTCTAATTTCGGATTTTTTAATTTCGTTTCTAAATTAATTTAGAGACGGATATTTTAATTCCGTCTCTAATTTAGAAACAGATTGAATTCCGTCGCAAGAATTCCGTTTCTATATGGACATTTTTTTGTAGTGGTACAACTCAAGATAAGATTAGAGATATGCAGAGTCTAGTTATCAAACTTCCATTCCCAAATAGACATCTAAAGAGTAAGTTGGATAAGGAGTTTGGTAAATTCCTGGAGGTTGTTAAGAATTTGCAGGTAACAATTCCTTTCATAGAATTAATTACATAGGTTCCTGGATATGCTAAATTTATGAAAGATATATTGGCTAAGAAGAGAGCCTTTAATGAGGTAGAGACAGTAGCTTTTACAGAGGAATGTAGTGCATCATTACAAAATAAGTCTCCACCAAAATTAAAGGATCCCGGTAGTTTTTCTATACCTTGTCATATTGGTAATCTTTTCATTGATAAAGCATTATGTGAATTGGATGCTAGTGTTAGTGTAATGTCATAGTTTGTGTGTTCAAAGCTTAATATGGGTGATTTAAAAGTTACTAACATTACTTTGCAAATGGAAGATCGTTCTGTTAAGTACCCCTTAGGTATTCTAGAGGATGTTCCTATTAGAGTTGGTAAATTTTTTATCCCTGTTGATTTTGTTGTTTTAGACATGGCTGAAAAATACACAAATTCCTATAATATTAGGTAGACCTTTCCTCCACACTACAGGGGCCATTATTGATGTTAAAAATGGAAAACACTCTTTTTGTCGAGGATGATAATATCACCTTTAATTTAAAGAGAATTTTAAAGGGTCCTATGTTAGAGGAAAATTGTTATAGTATTGATGTGATTGATGTTATTCGTAATGATAACTTACCATAGGTCCTTGCAAGGGATCCCCTGGATGAAGTGCTTTGTTGTGATTTTACTGCAGGTGATGCTGGTATTTGGAGCAGTGAGGTGGATGCTATTGAAAAAGCTCTCGCAATTGAACAACTTGATCCTAAGGAGAGCAAGAAGGTAGAAAAATTAGTTCAAGAATCGAAACTTGTAGAGGTAAAGAAACTTGAGTTAAAACCTCTCCCTTCTCATTTGAAATATATGTTTTTAGATGAACAGGAATTACACCCCGTGATCATTAGTACTGCACTTGATGACCCCCAAACTTCCCAACTTCTAGAGGTTCTTTGAACCCACAAAAGGGTAATTGGGTACATTATTGATGATCTCAAGGGTATTAACCCTGACTTTTGCATGCACAGGATACATTTAGAGGAAAATCACAAGCCATGTATTTAACCCCAGAGGAGGTTGAATCCTAACATGCAGGAAGTAGTCAAGAAGGAGGTTGTGAAATTACTTGATGCAGGTATTATCTATCCAATTTCTGACTCAAAGTGGGTAAGTCCCGTACAGGTAGTTTCTAAAAAGGGTGGGATGACAGTAGTAAAAAATGATAAAAATGAATTGATTCCCACTAGAACTGTAACAGGGTGGCGTATGTGCATTGATTATCGTAGATTAAACATTGCCACTAAAAAAGATCACTTCTTTCTCCCTTTTATTGATCAAATGTTAAAAAGGTTAGCTAATCATAAGTTCTTCTGCTATTTGGATGGGTACTCGAGATTTTTCCAAATTCCAATTCACCCTGAAGATCAGGAGAAGACAACATTTACATGCTCCTATGGTACTTTTGCATATTGTAGGATGCCATTTGGATTATGTAATGCCCCTGCTACCTTTCAACGTTGTATGATGAACATTTTTTCTGAATTCATAGAGTCTATATATCATGGAAGTCTTTATGGATGATTTTAGTTTGTATGGGTCTTTATTCGATGCTTGCTTAGCTAATCTCACTTAAATTTTGAAAAGATGTGAAGAATGTAATTTGGTCTTAAATTGGGAAAAAAGTCACTTTATGGTGATAGAAGGTGTGGTCTTAGGTCATATTGTATCTGATAAGGGTATACAGGTAAATAAAGCAAAAGTTTTTGTGATTGAGCAATTACCTCGACCAGTTAATGTTAAGGGGGTAAGGATTTTCCTTGGTCGTGTGGGGTTTTATTGTCGCTTCATCAAAGATTTTTCTAAAATTATATTGCTAAACCACTAACTCAGCTTTTACTCAAGGATGCCCCATTTGATTTTACTGACGAGTGTCTTAAGTCTTTTAACAGGATTAAGACGGCTTTGATATCGGTACCTATCATATGTGCTCCCGATTGGGATCTTCCCTTCGAGATTATGTGTGATGCCAGTGATTTTGTTGTAGGAGTCGTGCTAGGACAAAGGAGAATAAAGTTTTGCATGCTATTTATTATGCAAGTAAAACTTTGGATGAAACTCAAGTCAATTATGCCACTACAGAGAAGGAGTTTCTTGCTGTGATTTATGCTTTAGAGAAATTTAGATCATATCTAGTTGGTTCTAAAATTATTGCTTTTATTGACCATGCAGCTTTGAAATATTTGATCGCCAAGGAGGAAACAAAGCCTAGACTTCTCCGTTGGGTACTCTGATGTTGAAATTAAGGATAAAAAGGGAGTTGAGAATGTAGTTGTAGATCACTTGTCGAGAATCAGGTATGATGAGGGTAAGGATTCTCTTCCTATAGATGATTCTTTCCCTGATGACCATTTGTTTGTAGTTGTGTAGCAACACCCTTGGTATGCTGATTATGCCAATTATTTGGTAGGCATCACCCTACCTCCTGATATGTCCTACCAATAGAAAAAGAGGTTCATTTATGATGTTAAAAATTATCTTTGGGATGACCCCTTTTTGTTTCGTGAGTGTGTAGATGGACTTTTTTGCAGGTGTGTTCCCGAATGGGAACTTCACGGTGTCCTTACTAGATGCCACAACTGTTGGGTTTCGTAGTGTCTGACACTACGCGGAATGAAACCCTCCCAAAATCTACACACAAATTAAAGTAACTAAACATGAATATTAATTAACAATCACATAATTAATTAACAAAGAGAGAGAAAGAAGAAAAGACGATCATACCCTTGATGCTTGCTTCGCTCTTTCTTAGAGCTCGTACTTGAAAGCGTAGAGCTTCGCAAATGCGCAAGCCTCCAACGCTCTCACCCTCGAGACCCGACCCGAACAACCCCTACCCCGAAGCTTAGTCGGGGCTAGACCAAAAGTATAAGAGTATTAGAACGAAAGTATTCTCGCTTATGGAGATCCTTTCAAGTTCACAACCCAAGTGCTATTTCCAAATGCCAAATGATTGATATTTATAGGGAAATGAGCCCTTTGAATTCCATTCTCCCATCAATGTGGGAAAGTTGGTAAAAGACATTTATTCAATTTAATTTAATTCTAAAATCAAATTAAAATATAAATGAATCAACAAATAACAAGTGTCAAGTGGAGAGCAAGGGGTTAGGTGAGGACCACAAGGGGGTGGGGAAGGGGGGCAGCATCCTCCCCTTTCTTCCCAAGTAATCCCACAAATCGGTCCTCACACACACAAGCCAACCACCGTATGCCAGCTGGACCTAGGCCTTGCGCACCAAGGCACACCCAGCTGGTGGCCTGGTGCTTGACTGTGTTGTCAGCATGACTGCGTTGTGCAAGCAGCTTAGCAAGCATGCCACGCATGTGTGCGGGCTGCTTCTAGGCATGCTAGGCGCACATACCGCAAGCACAGCTTGCGACCTGCTACTATCGCTAGCATTCCTAGCTAGCTGCTGCTTCCTCGCACAAGCCCGCAGCAGCATGCCAAGCATATGCGGGCTGCTCGCTATTGGCATTGCTGCGTGTGCTTAGGCATGCCAACCCGGGTAGCCAACACTAGCAGTTGCCAGCGAGGCACTGCGCGCTAGCTTACGGTTGGCCTTGTTAGCATTGTTAGCACCTTTCTCGGCTAGCAAGCCCCAGCTAGCACCCGAGTAGGGCTGTTAGGCTTGCGGCCTTGCTAGCAGTTATGGCTAGCAGCCCTTTGTAGCCTAGCCCTCGCTCGGCTTGGCCAACGCGAGGCTAGGGCTATATAGTAACTTGTTTTTTGGTTGATTTTTCGTCTTCGTCGATTCCTAGACTCGACTCGTCTTACGACGCTCAGTTTCGATGCTCTAAGCTCGTAATCCGACGTCTTTGTTCGTAATACTCTATTGACTCATTTAATCCTTTGGATTCATTCGTCATTTCGGTTCGGTTACTCGATTGGGTGTGACCCGAAGGGTTCAGTCAAAATTAAGGTGTAATATTAATTATGCATTAATATTACTGATCGGAAGCGGCCTCTAGCTAGGCATTCTGATCACTTGACCTCACTGAATAATTAGCTTTCTAATAATTGCGAACCCTCTATCGGAATAATACACTTGTTCGAAGGACACCATTCCTTTCAACAACTCACCTTATGGTGGACATCATGGCCCCACAAAGACAGTACTAAAGATCAATGAGTCGGGTTTTTATTGGCCTACCATGTTCAAAGATGCTCACTCTTTTGTTATAGCTTGTGATTCTTGCCAGAGGATTGGCAACATCTCGCGGCATCATGAGATGCCTTAAACAAGCATTTTGGAAGTTGAAATCTTTGATGTTTGGGGTGTTGACTATATGGGACCTTTTCCCTCTTCAAAAGGGAAACGTTATATCCTAGTAGTTGTTGACTATGTATCCAAGTGGGTAGAAGTCGTTGCCGCACCTACCAATGATGCTAAGGTGGTCCATAGACTTTTCAAGAAAACTATATTTCCTAGATTTGGTGGCCCTCGAGCTATCATTAGTGATGGAGGTTCTCACTTTCATGAGCGGAAGTTAGATACCCTTTTAAAAAAGTATGGTGTTTACCATAGGACAGGTTTAGCTTACGATCCTCAAACTAGTGGCCAAGTTGAGGTTTCTAACCATGAGATTAAGGCTATTCTAGAGAAGGTGGTGGCAAAGTCTAGGAAGGATTAGAGTGATAAGTTGAATGACACACTTTGGGCATATAGAACCGCATTTAAGACCCCATTGGTACTTCCCCCTATAGACTTGTGTATGGGAAAGCGTGTCATCTCCCGGTGGAATTAGAGTACAAGGCTTATTGGGCAATTAAAGAGCTCAATTTTGATGCTAAGTTAGCGGGAGAGAAGAGTCTTTTTCAACTTAACCAGTTAGATGAGTTTCGATTGATGGCCTATGATAGTGCACGTGTCTACAAGGAGAAGACCAAGAAATGGCATGACAAGATGATCCTCCCTAGAGAATTCAAAGAAGGTGATAAGTTTTTTCTATTTAATTCTAGGCTTAGACTTTTCCCAGGAAAGTTGAAGTTAAGGTGGTTGGGTCCTTTCACTGTGAAAAGGGCAAATAAATTCGGTTCTATGGAATTATATGATGAACATGGTAGTGTTTTCAAGGTAAATGCCCAAAGATTGAAAATTTACTATAAAGGGGCTACGATAGGTGCAGTTGAATTACTTCACCTAATCGATTCTACCTCATCTTGATCTACATGTGGTAAGAAGGTCGTGCGGAACCTAGATAAGCCAGCGCTTTGCGAGAGGCAACCCGTATTTACTTGCTTTCTAGAGTAGTTTTTCTTTTATTTTTTCTTTAGAGAGAAGAGAGAGGGAATTTTACGTATGTTGGAGTGTTTTTTTGTACAGGTTTGGAGCAAAAGATATAGCTTAATTTTGAAAAAAATTTGAAAAAGTCGAAGCTTAGTGATGTAGGCGCGCCCGACTGGGTGCGAGAGCGAAGTTTTGGGGAGTGAAACACCGCCCGACCGGGCGCGAGAATAGCTCGTTTACGATCAAAAATCGCCCGACCGGGCGCGAGAAGCTAAAAACAGAGAGACTCATATCGCCCGACCGGGCGCGTCCCATTATCCGAATTTGCTTCTTTTTTTCTCCTTCTTTCTTCTTCCTTCTTCTTTCTTGTTTCTTCTTTTCTCTTTCATACTCCATACTTTCTATCTCTAAAACCTCTAATTTCTCAAACTTCTCTCTAAGATCTCTACTATTTTTCTCATCCAATATCAATTTTTTTTACATATTCTTAACCTTCTCTTCACCCTCTTTAATCCTATATTTATATTTTTTTGTTTTTGAAACAAAGAAAAATTCAGACCCACAATTCCCATGGCTAGCAAACGTGCAAGAACTCAACGAGGTGGGGGTGGTTCGAGTTCAAAAACCAATTGACGAATCTCTACAACTTAGGGAGCGGCCAACGATCGTCATCACATCACAACAGCAAAGGAACCGTCTAATCAACCTCTACGAACGGGAGGTAATTTCTTTTCGGTGGTTAAACCGAGACGCTCTTAATGCTATTGGTGTGTATGACTATGTTAGGAGCTTCATGAATGATATTGGCATGCGAAAATTTGTTGATATGTATTACCCTACATATAGAGAACTTACATGTGAATTCCTATATATCTTCTTTGATGTAGAAAATACTAAAATGGCCCCGTGTTGCGTTTTTTATTAAACAATAGGAATATTGCATTAACTTTTGTTGAATTTGCAATTGTTTGAACTTGATCCCTCTCCTCCCATCCAAAATCATTTGAACTATAAAGCCGATGATGTGTATTTGGCTTTGACAGGCAAACCTTATCCGAATATTCAACATGCTAGCTCCCTTCCCTTTCACCACCCCGTCCCAAAAATCTTTCACGGATTTTTCGGAACATGTTTTTTTTGCCCGCCATGAGCCTCATAGCGCCCAATCCCTAAAGCTTTCTATCATAGGGCATTATATTTTGGATACGATAGATTGAACATAGCCCGTTATATAGTGGACCACTTGAATAGGAACGGGAATACATGTGATACCAACATAAAAACCCCAATCTATTTTGGTGGCTTAATCACTAGGATAACAATTAAAAAGGCGGGGTTTAGTGAAACCAACTGTGAGGGGGTAACCAACTGTGGGGGGGGGGGGGTACCTTATCAGACCTTGACCTACTACGGGGGGGTTAAATTGGGTTAAGCCAAACCATCGTCAGGTTTTAGAGTGGCTAGTGTAGAGAGGGAGAGACTACGTGCCCGTATTTCACCTCCCTGACACAGAGTTGACCAGTTTCCCTCCTGGACAACAGTTTATACCTACACCTCGTCTACTTCCCGGGGCCCAACCACATGTGCCACAGCCTCCCCCTCACTAGCCTAGACCCGACCCAAAGACTGTTTGGGACCTTTTAAATATCGTTCAGGCCATAGGTAGGATAGAGAGGGGTCAGGGGGAGCTTAGATTAGAGGTTGGGGATCTTAGGAGGTTAGTTGGGTCTCTTGACCAGAGAGTGGGGTATGTGGAGAGGAACACGGGTAGGGGTCTTTTCCAATGTACAACGAGTATGCTCGTAATGGGGCTATTCTTGCTGAGACCCTACGCTCAGACTGGTTCCAGCCACCACCAGGGGGGTATGTAGACCCCAACACTCAAGGCACCTACATTGACTACCCCTCTTTCTCTGGCTACGGCCAAGACTTTCCTTTTCGGAGGATAAGGGGTAATGTTAACCCTAACTATTTTGGCGGTAGTTCCTCTGGTGCAGGTGGCAGTGGTAGAGGTGGAGATGGAGTCATGGATGAGGATGGTGATAATTAGCCGTGCTGAGGCTAATTCCCGGGTCAATGAGGATATTGTCTGATTTTGGCTTGGGGGAGACTTTTGGTAGAGGTATCTTATTTCTTCTCTCTCTTTTTGATTTTTGGTGTGTTTAGTATAGTTTTTATTGCTTTCTAGTGTAGATTTTATTGCTTTTAAAAAAGAAAAAAATACAAGAAAATTGAAAAATAAAAAAAATACAAAAATACGATCCAATGAATGATAAATCATGCTTTCCTGTGCCCCATAAATGAAAGTTGTGAAATTGTTTTGATTCTTGGTACATGATGATGGATATTATGGATAGGTTAGCCATGATTTGATGTTTGATTGCTTTGATTCCTTGATATGAGTCAACTTTGTCTAACTATTTGTGGATTTGGTGCTTGACTAGTTGATTTGGTTAGGAAGTGTGTGTGTTAGTTCCTGGTATGTCATTGAAGTTGAGTATTGGTTTATGACTTTAAGTAATGTTTGTATGGCTCATATTTGCACATTGAGGAGGACGAAAGCATTTGTTCATTTAGGCAGCTTTCAGATGATTGTAGATGCATTTGTTCCCTTCTTGCTACCCATGTTGTTGCCTTGACCTTTTTTTGTTTATTTAGCCACATTACAAGCCTATTTTTCCCCACTGGTTACTAGTCCCAAACTTGGCTTGGGGGAGCTATTAGTGAGTGAGGTGAGGGAGTTTGTAGTGTGCTTATTTATTGCACAATGTGGGTGGGTTTTGAGAAGTTGTTTTGTTCTTGATTGTGGTTTATTTTAGGTGGTTTGAAAGTTGAAATCTCTTGAAAAAAAAAGCACGATGGAAAAAAAAGAAGAAGTTCAAGAAAAGAAAAGAAAAGAAAAGGAAGTGAACTTCAAAAGAAAAAGAAAAGAGCAAAAGAAAAAAAATTTGTTCCAATGCTCAAATGTTCTAAATGAAGGTTGCTCAAAATAAAGAAAAGAAAAAAAAAATTCAAAGAAAATTCAAGTTGAAAAAAAAAATTTCAAAGTTTGTTTGTTTCACTAAAGTTCTACATTATTATATTTATATGAGTGAAGTTGTAAGTGTTGGAAAAATTTGTGATATGATAGGTTTGGTTGTTTGGTGAATTTTGGTGGAGTTGAGTTATGTTGGAGATGTTTTGGTCATTGTTTTATTTTGACCTTGGTTTTATTGGTTATGATTTGTTTTTTTTTGGTAAATAGAAATTCATTACCAAAAGGGCTGCAAAGCAGCAAACATGAATACAAAAAGCCGAAAGGCCTAAACTCCAAAACACCAAAAGCCCCTAAGGACACACACGCACCAGCCAAGGGTCAAGGTCCAAAGGCCAACTTCTAGGAAGGGTTCCAAAGAACCTTGGACCAAACACGGCCCTTCTGAACTCAATGGAATCGAACTACCCTCTAGGAGGATTACCCGAAACCAAAGGAACTAGACAACCAACAACTCACAAGCATACAAAAAAAAAAAAAAAAAAAAAAATTGAAGAAGCTAAAGCCCAAAACACCTTCACCAAGAAGCTGCCTATAAGAGGAAACAAAAAACAGGCAGTAGCAAAGCAACAATAAACACCAACTAAAAAGAAAAAAAAAACAAGCTTTGTAAACACAAGAACATCAAACAAAACCGGCACAAAAAATCACAGCAGAACAACAGCCGTAGAAAACAGCAAATCAGCAGCAAATACCATCAGACTAAGCATCTTCCACCATTACAGTCCTCAAAAAACCAAGAACAACAAGCAGAAATAGCAGCAACAGACCCAGCAAGACAATAGCAGCAGAAGCAAGCACCAGACCAGCACCCAAAACAAGCAATCAGCAGGCAGAAGGCAGGGCACAATAGCATGCAGAAGGCAAGGCACAGCAGCAGGCATCAGCCAGCAATCAGCAAGAAGACAACAAACTTTATTCCCACTTTTTTCCCCAAATATTTCCTACATTTCACCTTGGCCTTACATTACAAGCTTTAAAGACCGTCCGACCTTTGTGCATAGAGTTATATGGATGTGAAATTAGTTGTTTATCAATGCAAAGAATGATTTGACATATTTTGAGTCGACTACTAGGTTGAGCGCTTGTCTTTTTAAACACACGAGTGTTGTGAGTTTGGGAGGGCATTGTTCACAGTAAAGGGGTTGGTGGGAGAGCGATCGGATACACTTTTTATCCGCCACATATATGAGTGAAGAGTGTCTGAGCACTAGTCATGAATTCCATATACACTTGTGGTTCTCTTTGTTTGACAATTGTTAGGGTGGATTAGTAGTTGGATGGATTTTATTGGTTGACTTTGATGCATATTTGTTGGATTTGCCTTGAATTGATTATACTTGATTTTAGTATCTTGGGGTGAAGTATGTTTTATTTGTTCATTGATGAAATATTTGCTTTGGGACAAGCAAAGGTTTTGTTTGGGGGAGTTTGATATTTACCCCCGTCCCTTGGTCATATTTAGGAGTATTATTGGCTCAAGAGAGCTATTTTTATTACTAATATGTGTTTTCTAGTGTTTTCGTAGCTTTGGTATTATTTTGTAGGAAATTGCGGAT